CCCTCCTCCTGTCTACAGGTTTTGGGTCATGATGGTGAACAAGTGTGCAAAGTTTCAAAGCCATATGTCAATGGACTTTGAAAATATTTGAGGTATTAACAAAACTTTAACGTAAATTCTAAGTTGAAAAAGGGGCATAATTCTGTCAAAATGCTTGATAGAGTTACCTCCTCCTGTCTACAGGTTGGGGTTATGATGGTGAACAAGTGTGCAAAGTTTCAAAGCCATATGTCAATGGACTTTGAAAATATTTGAACTATTACAAAAACTTTAACATAAGTGGTTACGCCGACGCTCGGGTGACTACAATAGCTCTACTTATTCTTATCGAATAGTCGAGCTAAAAAATTACCAATTTTCTGTTTTATTTTCTGAATGACATATGTAACAGACATATTATTATGCCCCCCTTCGAAGAAGAGGGGGTATATTGTTTTGCTAATGTCGGTCTGTCTGTCTGTCGGTCTGTCCGTCGGTAGACCACATGGTTTCCGCTGATTATCTTGAAAAGTATTAATCACAAAGTCTTCATATCTCACATGGTGATTGGTCATAACTAGTAGATGACCCTATTGATTTTGGGGTCACTAGGTCAAAGGTCAAGGTCACAGGGACCTTAAATGTCAAAATGGTTTCCGCTGATTATCTTAAAAAGTGTGTATCACAAAGTCTTCGTATTTCACACAGTGATTGGTCATAACAGGTAGATGACCCCTATTGATTTTGGGGTCACTAGATTAAAGGTCAAGGTCACAGCGACCTTAAAATGTCAAAATGGTTTCCGCTGATTATCTTGAAAAGTATTTATCACAAGTCTTCATATTTCACATATTGATTGGTCATATATAGTAGATGACCCCTATTGATTTTGGGGTCACTAGGTCAAAGGTCAAGGTCACAGGGGCTTTAAATGTCAAAATGGTTTCCGCTGATTATCTTAAAGGTGTGTATCACAAAGTCTTCATATTTCACACAGTGATTGGTCATAACAGGTAGATGACCCCTATTGATTTTGGGGTCACTAGGTCAAAGGTCACAGGGGCCTTAAATGTCAAAATGGTTTCCGCTGATTATCTTGAAAAGTATTTATCACAAAGTCTTCATATTTCACATAGTGATTGGTCATAACTAGTAGATGACCCCTATTGATTTTGGGGTCACTAGATTAAAGGTCAAGGTCACAGCGACCTTAAAATGTCAAAATGGTTTCCGCTGATTATCTTGAAAAGTATTTATCGTAAAGTCTTCATATTTCACATAGTGATTGGTCATAACTAGAAGATGACCCCTATTGATTTTGGGGTCACTAGGTCAAAGGTCAAGGTCACAGGGGCTTTAAATGTCAAAATGGTTTCCGCTGATTATCTTGAAAAGTATGTATCACAAAGTCTTCATATTTCACACAGTGATTGGTCATCACTAGTAGATGACCCCTATTGATTTTGGGGTCACTAGGTCAAAGGTCAATGTCACATGGGCCTTAAATGTCAAAATGGTTTTCGTTGATTTTTCCATGATTGAACACTTCCATGTACCCTTTTTGGCAATTTTTTGTAATAAAATTACCAATTATGTGAGTCAATGGCTAGAAAGGGGGGTATATGTGTCGTTCGACATTCTTGTTTTTTATTGCTTTATGACTGTTTAACAGATTACAAGACTTAAAACTATTTTGAAATGAAAATTTGTGCTAGCATACATAAAGTCTCAAAGTCCAAACCAAACTTGGTTACTTACTGACCCTTTAACCTGCTTAACTTCTTAAACAGACTTGTTCATTTTCAAATTCAATTTTTAGACTGTCCATTATCAATTTTGGAACATCAAGTCAAGATAAAATTGGAGTTTGTGGTCAGCGAATAGTATAGGGCCTGATCAGAGATTCAGACTGCACAGATGTGCAGGGTGGATAGGCCCTATACTGGTGGCAAGGCTGATCACTTTCGGTTCCAGTAGGTTAAGGATTAAACTCTGGACTTCAGGCTTGTGGGTTACAATAAGGACTATCAATGTTATACTTACAGTCTGTTAGACTTGTTATCCCTGCTAAGGTGGTGATGGGAACATTTGGTACCTCACCATTCATGTTGAATGATTGCTTACTACCAACTCACATCTGAAATAAAAACAAATGTTGATAATAAAACACCACACTTTCTTGTTGAAAGTTTCAATTACATCAAAGGGGCCTATTCTACCAAAGATCTATTGTCAGAGGATAAAGTAATGCCCCGGTCACATATTCACGGATAATGCCACGGAAGAGCTACGGTCTAATCGTTCACGCATTACTACGGAAATGTGAAGTTCCGTAGTTCGCTACGGTTCCAGTACGGACACACAACGGTATGAGTACGGAGTCCGAAGAATTTACCACCAAAAGCCCCCGGAGAGACAAGGATTGTTACGGACCGACACGGTTTGATACGGAGCGACACGAATCAGGACGGACGCACTACGGATACACTACGGTCTGCTACGGTATAAGCACGGGTTAGTACGAATAAGTACGGTCTGATACGGAGAAGAACGAATTGCCACGGATCTATACGGACCTAATACATCCGTCCACAACCTCTTGCTTGCTCATTTTTAAATGCCTCAAAAGAAAAGAACACCTAGAAAACGAATTGCAGCGTTCAATGATTTTGGCGGAGAGGATTCAGCCTAATCGCGTCCGATCCCCGAGACACATCAGGTCCAATTAAAGTGAATTTCTTAAAGGACGCTGGATCCTCAACAAGTTCGGCCATGAGAGCCTCATACTTAACATGAAGCGGTCTTCGTAAAAGCCCATCTCTAGTCCACCATCTCGTCTGTCTTCTCTTACCTGATTAGATATGGACTAGTAATTAATGAAAAATGTTGATCAATACTGCTTTTCTTTTAATTTTAAGATTTGCTGTTCATCTTACAATTACATTAATTATCGTGATGTTAATGTTTTAAAAATATGTAAAAAGCTTGTTAATTAATCTTATTATCACTCCTCAAGGGCCAGTGTCCGAAGCTTATGAGACACTTCGTTTTATGTACATATTTACTCCATTTTCACGATCTAATGTTTGTAAAATATGTAACATTAAATGTTATTCTATTTCTTATGAATTGTAGTACGATATTTATATAAATTTACTTCTATGCATGTCATCAAGCAGCTCGACCACTGCCTCCGTATTCTGAGCCATTTCAATATAAAGTTGCAGCCAGTAAATGGCAATTATCATTTATTAAATGTTCCTGCAAATATATATGTCTGTTTTTAACAAGAAGGTAGTATTTATACCCTTGAAAAAGTACATGATACTTAACTCATCCTTACTAAACAGTGGTGGGCCGTACCATTCTGTACAGTTTCGTGTTGCAACGCAATAAACCGTATAAGACCGTGCTAATCCTTGCCTCTCCGTAGTACAACGTATTACGATCGTGGCTTTCCGTGACAATGCTGTATTAATCCGTGGCTTATACGTAGGGTAACCGTACAAATATGTAGTTCTCCGTACCAAACCGTGGAAATCCTTGACAAGTTGGTGGACTACGAATCAGTACAGACTATTACGGTTTTCGTACGGACCAGTACGGATCAATACGAACTAGTAGGGATACGCTACGGTTGATTTTCCCGTAGCAAATTTTTGTGCATGTTCAAAAATTGTCAAGGATCGCTACGGATATACAAGGACTACTACGATTGATTACGGTTACAATACGGAGAGCTACTGACCAGTACGGGTAGCTACAGACGATGCCGGAATTAATCCGTGGCTCTTCCGTGGGCGTATTCCTTGAATATGTGACCGGGGTATAAGAGTCAACCATTAAATATTTTGTTTAAATGATTGTAGTAGTATGATTATGGCCATAGTGCTTTTGTTTCAATAAAAAGTAAATGATATATGATTAGCAAAATGTCTCTCAAAACAGTCTGCAAGGCCATTTGGGCCTTCAACCTTGGCAAAAGTATAGGCCTGGACAGATTTATTGACAACGGTTTATTTTATGTTGTTTTTTTTCCACATCAACAAGGTGCAATTTAAACACAAAGGGACGGAAAATCAGTCAGCCGTTTTTCAATAAAAGTCTCTTTTCCCGGTTTTTGCTTCAGAGTGTAATGTAGCTGATTCATGTTTCTTGTTCACAGGTCAATCTAAAAATAAATATATTCTAACAGAAATTTACAATAACCTGTTCTTTAAACAACCAACATTAAAGATTATACTCAGACATTGTTCGTATATTTACTCTAACCAATTGCTGAGGACGATAAATGCAGAACATGCATAATTGAATGACATATTGCGCAAATTTTACTTGATGTACATAGACTGATGATGTTTACATAATTTCGGAAAAATAATGAGACTAAAACTAATTTTATATGAAAACACATTCTAAATTCAAAGGCCCGTCGGGCTTACAATCTTTGGATTTCTTCAAGCCCTACTTGGGCACCGGGCTTGTGCCTTATTTCTCAGACTGTCAAAATATTTTTTATTTGAAATTACTTTTAAAAGACTGTCTGTTTTTCTGTGTGTTTTTTCCCAAATCTTTTGTGAATTGTCACCTTGATTGACTAACACCTAATTTAAGTCTCATTGTTTGATGTCTATGTTCCTAATGTTTACAACTAATTGACAATCCTGCCAACCACACCTGACAATCCTAATCTGTGACTACATTTATATTCTAATTTGTTTAAATTTGAACAAACTGGCAACTGCAAATGTTCATTAAAAATATATATGAGAAAGTCAGTGGCCGCTTAATCAATTGTCCATATTGCCTGGGTTGTCCCACAGACAAGTGAAAATTTTCCAGAATGTGCATTATAAATAACATATGGACAACAGAAAAAATGGAAAAGTCAAAAGCAGATTCTGCCGGCCTGGAAAGAGATACTGTCTGGCTTTATAAATGAAGCACAATTACGGCCCTGAACTCTGCATGAAAAAACCCTAACATTGTTCAAAATTGATGACCCAAGAGGTTAACCAAGGAAAATATGGGAAAAAACAACCCAATACCTCGAGATTTGAGTTTTAAAGTTAAATACCCAGGTTTTTTATGTTTGTTTGCTTGTTTCATTTTGCGCCTTTTCCCAACAGTATTTCAGTCATATAGGCGGGTAGTTTCCTAACCATCGTTCCTGGAGAGTTACACCAGTACTAGACAACCTTCCTCCGCGCTAAACTACCAAAGCATCTCCCGGGGATCGAACCCACGCCAGATTGGTAACTGGATTAGAAGTCATCGACTTTAACCCCTCGACCACGGAGGCGGTTTGTTTGTTTTTAAATCAAAAAGATACGGATTATAATCTGTTACAACTGCATTCTGTAACATCCTACTTATCTATAACCATGTGAATCTCTATTCAAATTGTTTTGATGCTATTATGCAGATATTCACATCACTGTATTATCATGTCTTTGACTTAATAAGTCTGACTTAAATGATGTTAATAGTAATTTTATTTGATTTTGATATGTGACTGAGACTGAAGAAGGAACTCAAATTTTTATGGTCTTTTTACGAGACAAAATCACTGAGGCCATCCATTTGCTGGTTAAATGCAGTGTGCAAACCAAACTTTGCAATTTAAGAATCAAATTCACTATGTTAAATCGTGAAATCTATGGTTTTAAGTATTTGAAAAGTGAACATGTATTCTGATTTAGTGCATCCAATACCTGCACTGAAAATATTCACACAGCTCTGTGTGATCTATGTTTATACTTCATGTACATTTTAATTGTGTAAAATATATATAGCAGATTAATGTGCAGCTATTACAAGAAATAAATCAACAATGGAACTAATTCAATTCAAAAATGCAATTACAATGTTATGCAAAGGATGCTTTAAATTGTTTAAAATAGATGTACCATGACAACTACATTTGATTTTTGTCTGTGATGATTTGAAAATGAATAAATATTTTTTAAAAAAACTAAGAAAGAAACCTTCAACCTAAATTTTGATTCTGTTGATTACTAAGGGTGTAACGGTTTACCGGTATACCGATATATTGCAATATGAAAAAATAAATTTCGTACCATGGTACAATTTTTGGAAAACCGGTATTTTATAAAAATCATAATTTTCAATTAATCGCCTTCTAATTTCGTACAAATTTAGCATAAAATCTTTTATTGGTGAATTTTATTGGCGTCAACGCAAGATAAAAATATCTGACAACTAGTAAGGGTGTAACGGTTTACCGGTATACCGATATATTGCAATATGAAAAAATAAATTTCGAATCGCGGTACGATTTTTGGAAAACCGGTATTTTATAAAAATCATCATTTTCAATTAATTGCCTTCTAATTTTGTACAAATTTCGCATAAAATCTTTAATTGGAAAATTTTGTTGGCGCCAACGTAAGATAAAAGTATCCGACAACTAGTACACTTAAAAGTCAATAAGCGGCCGCATAATTTGCATAAGCGGCCCAGATGTGAAAGGTCACACGCCACTAGTTTTGTTTATCGAATTGTGTTACACTACTTTCTATTTATTCCTTACATTTTTATTAAGTTTCTACTAAAAATATATACATATAATAATAATATATAAATGTTACTCCATCTTTACATCAAACCATATACACGACAATACGTATTGCAATATATTGCAATACGCTTCAGCAAAATGGCAATATATTGCAATACGGTTTTTGCTGTATTGTTACACCCCTAACAACTAGTACACTTAAAAGTAAGTAAGTCGCTGCATAATTTACATAAGCGGCCCAGGTGTGAAAGGTCACGCGCGACTAGTTTTGTTTATCAAATTGTGTGACACTTCACTTTCTATTTATCCCTTACATTTTTATTAAGTTTCTACTAAGAATATATACATATAATAATAATAATAAACATATACCTGACAATACGTATTGCAATACGCTTTGACAAAATGGCAATATATTGTAATACGGTTTTTGCCGTATTGTTACACCCCTATAAATGATTACCAAAAGATGATAATATCCTAATATTTATTCTCTTTTTATAATGAAATTCTGTTTTCATTCCAACTAGAAAAATTGGATAATGAATATTGATATTCTTTTGTCATCTTTATAACAAATCATGTTGAAGTCTTAGTCGTCAAACTATTCTCATCAAGCATTTGCATCCCTTGCAGGGTTTTCATAATTAACAAATTGGCGATCCATATCCAGTGTTCCCATATACGCACATATGTGCGTATTTTACGCATAAATAACAAAATTCACGTACAGAAATTTAGGCAAGAGGGTAAAAATACGCACAGAAAGTCGGAAACTTAATCTTGTATAATTCAAAAATTATTCTTTTGAGCAATTTCTCAAACAAAAATCACTTAAAGTGCATTGAAATTGATGAAATGTGAGAAAATCTTCGAATTCACAATGAAGTTTACAGACCCCCCACTGGGAATTACTGCCGTAAGTTATAAATTTATAATTTTTGTTTTACCATGCCTGTAAGAATAGCCGATGAAAAACAGTCTCAAAATACAAAAAAATATTAATTTTGACATAATGGTAAGCAGCTACAACTGGAATTGTGAATGTTTCTGCAGAAAACTGACGAATTTTCATTTGTCACATATTTTCGCGATGCCGATTTTGTTAATTAAAAACATCAACAAAAGGGAAGCTTTGTTTTGTTCAAAGGTGTGTAGTAACAATTTATATGCTGTTTATGAATTTAAATAACTCAAAAAATGGTTATATTAATTGAGATGGAGATATATGCCAGTATGTGTTGGTCACAATGAATTATACCTGGGTAGGGGGTGTGGAGTGAATCTTGAAGAAAACAAATATTGTACAAATTTTTATTTTACCCCCAGTTTTCAAAGGTAAGGAGTAAAAATACCCCCAATGAAAAAAAGAAGTGGGAACACTGATATCAATTATCATTGGTTGAAATGCTGTTAAAATCACTTGCATTTTCAGTCTGAAGATTAAAATATCCCCTTGACCAAATCGGATGTTTTCGTTGCCACATCTGTTGTCTCAGATAAAAATGAAAACCCTGTCTGGATCCCAGTTACACTAAAAATTTTGCATTCAATAAAGAGATGCAAACAAACATAAATTTAAACTAAAAAATTAAATGATTTTAAAAAACATATAAATATAGCACTGCAATCTTCATATCAGGAAAATAATTAACGTCACAATAAACATAACACAGTATACGCTCGTAATGTAGAACTACAACATCATTAATCCAATATCGTATATAAGCCAGTAATTTCAACTATTCCCCACCCACTGCATTTCCAAAAGGAAGAAAAGATGCTTAGTAGGTCAGCAGTATGGCAGTCTTTTCAAAGAAATATCAAGAATGTTGAATGCAGTAAATTGACCAGCATAATATGTTCTATCGAATGTAGCTTGGTGATTTAAATGCAAACTGATATGATGCAGAAATTTATTGATTTAGACGCGATTTTGATGGAAGAAAATTGATTTGTGAACTCACCTGTCCAATTTTTGGCAGCGATTTTCCAAGTAAAATAGGCAACACGGTTGAATCAATATGCATCAGTCTATAAATAAAAGATTGAACTTTTGAATAACAAGGGAAATTTAAGCTATAAACAAGGTTAATTCATATAAAATGAGGTAAATATAACGAACCATAACAATGATCCCCGCCAAAAATACATCAGCCACAAGATTCCAGTAGTATAAGGCTACAACAAAAAAGTAATTCCAAATTTGACAAAAAATTGAAAGTAAACAACCTCTATAGGAATTTATTTATCTTTGAAATGGTGTATTGACTGAATATTTCTTTACTGCTACATTTGCTTCAATATAGTGGAAGCAGCTTTGATAATTATTAAAGCGGATTATTACTAAGTAGCTTCGAAAATAGTTCCTAATTGGGATATTCATGACGTCACAAATATGGCTGCTCCCGGTGTAAACACAGAAATGAGAAAAGTCTATGTTGTTGGTGTCGGGATGACAAAGGTTTAACATTTAAATGGCCCTGTGTATTGCGAAAAATTTGTTTGAATGATTTCTAGAAATAATGACAATCAAACCCCTCTGTAATTGTCAATATTTTTGGAAACGCATATTTCATGAGGGGCCATTTCAAAAGTATGGGATGTCTTGAGGTTTCTAAACATTTTTTTAGAGATTGTTTATTATATGATTGATTTCAAAAGAAGGATATGAAATGCCGCCGTAGAAGTATCAATATTTTGTGATTTTCACTACCAATGCTAAATTTTCAACACGAATTTAGATATTAAAAGGAGCAAACACTTTGGCAGTTAAAATTTATTTTGAGGTGATCCCCATTGAAACTTCACATGTTTGGACTTTGATAGGTCACAGATTAAATAGGATGTGTAAGCTGTCATATAGCAGAAGTGGATCATTGTAGGCACTTGTAGCATAGCTGATACACATTTTATTCTTCTTGGCAAATTCGTGTATTTGATAGTTAAAAATGAAGCGTAAAGTTTATGTTGTAGGTGTTGGAATGACTAAGGTATGGTTGTTTGAGCCTTAGAAAATGAACTTTTTATTGACCTCATATTACAAGAATTTTTTTTGTAGTTTAACACAAAAAGTTTACTTTGATAAACTGTCGAGTAAAAAAAAATGTATTTGTTGATTCATGTTTAGTTATGAAAAGTAGTTTATTATAGCCATCATGTAACTGCAGTTTTATTATATTGTCATTAATTGAAACATTATGACATCCTATATGAATTATTATTAAAAATATTGTTTTGATGTAACAACAGGCTGTTATTTCATCTGACAATTATATATATTTGAAAAGTTAGGGCTAACCAACATAACAAATGAACTACATGTCAGAATCATAGCTCTAGCAATTAAGTTTACATGTACATTGAATTTGACTGAATTTAAAACTTTATTGACAATTTTTTAATTCCTTACTGTGGTTGGAATTTGCTCTTGAGACTTCAAATTTGTTATTTAGGATGTAGGAGTGTTGACATTTACTAGTTTTTCAGAGAGGGCCATGTCAGTCAAAATATGCTGATTTTCACTAGTAATGTGAATTGACATCCAGCTCTCAGAGGGGTTATTTTCACTTTTTCGTATGTTGATTATATATGTCCAATTCCAGAAACTCTTCTTGGTATATTTTATAGTTTTGCTTTTATACATACATATCAGGGTTTACTGTATTCCTAGAAATGTTCGCGGATACAATATTTCGCGTTTTTCACAACGTCGGCATTTTCGCGGATACAAACTTTCGCGGATTTGTAGTAACCGCAAATTCCGTATTAAGTAGCTACGGCCTAAATAGGCTACGTTTTTGATACATCTCCTCGCCTGTTGGGTACTTTTAATTCTTTTATTTTTTCTTTACAATGCCTTTTCATCTATTGACTAGCCGAACACATACAGTTGTTCCGTGATCACTTTTATCTTATTTCCTTACCTTTTTCACTATGGGATTAAGTAAGATATAGTCAGACCCGTTAGCTTTTATTCTCATTTGAATCATAACTGACTTTGTCTTCAAAATGTCGATCGATATATTGCTTTTATTATAACAACATAACAGCTGCTTATCAATGTAGCACTTGATCGCTATTGTACTTTTAACAAAGGATTACACCTACTCCAAGCAAATAAAACCCAAGCCATTCAATGCACGCAAACTGTAAATGATTTTGTATACGTCGTGACTACCGAATAACGTCAATAAGCATGATAATTACTAATAATTGACAATTTATTTTCTTCAGGGTCCAAACAGGTATCTATAACATACATACATATTTCTTTACACACATTTTTATAGCACCTGCGTTTATATGTTATTTGTGTAATTAGATTATAATAAATATTCTGCACGTTTATGTTTATATTTGGTTGAAGCTAGAAATGTTTGCGGATTTGTTATAAGTGACATATTCGCGGCTATAAAGTTTCGCGGAATCATGCCTACCGCGAAAAGCGCTAACTTAAAACGCGCAAAATCTTTTCTAGGAATACAGTATTTTAGGTTTGGGAATGTGGCCCTAGCCTTTAAAATTAATGTTATTGGAAATAAGCACATGCAGAGGACAAATTAATTTTAAGGCTAATATTGTATTGCAAGAGGAATAAAATTAAGATGCATTAGTAATTTGAATTGGGAGAGGAACTTGCAGGGTTTTAAAGAAATTTTCATTTGGAATATAGACTCTTAGTATTCAGTTACAGCTATAGAATGAAATAAAAAAATGATGCAAATATGCTTTTTTTTTGTTTCATTAACATTGTACTTACATTCAGATGTATTGATATAATTTCAGTTTGAAAAACCTGGAAGGAGGGAAAACTTTGATTATCCTGATATGGCCAAAGAAGCAGGTATATTCATTGGCTATATTTCTATACTGGAAAAGGTTTTGTAATATTGTTGATTTAGATGCTCCATTCCAACTTAGTCTAAGTCTCAAAACACAAAAATATTATAGTCTTTCATTTTAAGTTTTATATGCTGCTATAAGCTATAAGAAGAAAGAGTCGCTGTGTCACTTGGTAAAATATTTAAATAATAAGCTGATGACAAGTTGAAATAACATAGCAAAGTTGTTGAAGAGCTTGCAATTTATTTGGTGCATGTTCATGCCTAAAATAATGCACAAGAGATGCACCTAAGGTTTATTTTTACCAGTAAGGCTGTTCAGGCTGGAATAGTTCCATAACTATTATGACTCTCTCAGTGTTGCTGTAACTCATACACAGCCAGAAAAAGATAAATAAAAGAAAAAAATCCCCCAAAAATGTATACTTAGGTTCAGTGAAAGAATGAACATCCAAAGGAAGGTTTGTATAACATTGTTATAAAATAATTATTCTTGCAATAAAATAAGAATGATTATAAACCTCAATAGTTATAATTTGGTATGAAGTACTTTTTATATTCACAAAGAAAATAAACCCCTTGAAATATCAAATGAGGAGATTTCATTTACTCAAAGTTTGTTGAAAAGAAGTTACTTCTCTTGTTGCAGGGATAAAGGCATTAGAAGATGCTGGCATTTCATATGATGCTGTAGAACAAGCTTGTGTCGGGTATGTCTATGGTAAGTTTAATTTGTGATTTTACATTTTCTGCTTTAAAGATGTTTTGGTAAATAGCAAGAATTGTTTTCTGCTTTGTCCAATAAAATTTAATATCATTTTTGCGAGTGTAAAGTTCAAATATTGATTATTTAAATAATTTACTGATTAGTTACTATTAATTAATTTTTGATTGTTAGTTTTTTTGCCATTAACCAAGTGACCTAATAATTATGTTTAAAATGCAGTATAATGTTTGGCTCTTTACACTACTAGTATCATTTGGTGGTGTTTTTAATCCAGTGCAAGATAAACTCATGCTTAAATATTTCTATTCATAAGGTGATTCAACTTGTGGACAGAGGGCATTGTATCAACTTGGCATGACAGGCATTCCTGTGTATAATGTAAGTTAATAGCAAGAAATAGATTTAAAAGAAAGATATATTTGTAAAGCACCTTGTGGAGACAAGGATATAGAAATGTCTTTAACCCTTACCACCCTAAATATCTTAAATGGACTTATCCATCAATTAATCTTGGCTAAACCATTCATCAATTTTTAGGGAAAACTTAAAAATAAAACTGATTAAACTACAAACAGCCCAGACCATTTACTTTGATCAGACAGCTCAGATGTTCTTGCTGATCTTGGTCTTATACTGAGGCAAGGCTTTGAACCTATCTCTCTTTATTGACAGCCAGCGTGTTTAAAACTTGACCCTTGTTCACTTGTGACATTTCATTTTTAAAGTATTTTTTGCATCTACATAAAATAATGCAAATAAAAGTGGTATTATTTTCTTGTTAAAAATGATTTTGTTTTCAGAAATGGATTAGACATTTAATATTTCCATTAGCTCTAAATTAATACCTAATGAAAGAATAAAACAGTTTTAATTCAGACCACCTTTTCTGCTTGATTCAGGTAAACAATAATTGTGCCACTGGATCCACAGCTCTTGTGATGGCTAAACAGCTGATCCAAGGAGGTATGTTGTATTTCAGGAAAATGACTTTTTGATTCTTCTGTGTGGGGTATTACCCAGCTACATGATAATACTATGGTTCTTGCTTGTACCTGAAAAAGTACATGGTGGAGACACCTGAGATCTTTCTCTACAAGTAAAGCTGGAATGTTACCCTATGACTGTTATGGAGTTCAGGTGTGAAATAAAATGCAATAAAAAATGAATGAACAGTATGATAATAGATCATTCTTTTAAATTTAAATGAGATGGGGTCAGAATTTGTTTGAGTAATGATGGTGATTGTTCCTGCAATAGTGTATACATGTATTGCACCTTTTTCAGTAAGGTGCATTATGCTAATGAATTGAAAAATGTTACGTGTTTAATAACACATCTTTTCTACTTGAAATGTTCCTTAATTTGTTAAAGTATACACAGGTCATTATACTATTTTCTCTTTTGTGTAGGTATGGCAGATTGTGTAATGGCTCTAGGATTTGAGAAAATGCAAAGGGGCTCACTAAAGGCAACAGTAAGTTCATTGATAGTGTTTCTACAGTCTGAATATTCTTTAGTAACATTTGACTGGGATATTTTATTCAGACAAAGTGACACTGAAGCAATATATACTTTAATTGTGCAAAGGTTTTCTAAATTTAAATGATATTTTGATTTTGTATAGGTGTAGGTACTAGCAAAAACTATTATTTTTGAAATGCAAGTGTGGGCATCAACATTATAATTATTTTATATAAGTCTGTACTAAATAGTTTCCTGCTGCAAAAATATCACTCTTTAAATATTTTAATGACTTACTTCATTATGGAAAAATATAAAAAAAAAAAAAATTTTTTGGGGGGGGGGGGGGGGCGGGGGGGAAAAAAAAATTTACCTTTTTATGCCCCCCCCCCCCCCCCCAAAAAAAAAAAACACGGCATAAAAAAACTTGGGGATGTAGAATGTAGATTTGCCATTTGTTTGTCTCTCCTGCTGTCACACTTTTCCTTCATAGACTGTGTTGAATGTAGGCGCATCTGTGTCCTATGAAACATTTCTATTTATATAAATTATTTGATAAGGATCTTATACATCAGAATGGTTATCTTCTAATTGGAATTTATTTGTTTAAAGCTGGCTAAATACATAATCAAGATATTTGTTGTCTAGGACTGTAAAAGGCATCATTAGGACTAGGTACTACGTATTAATGAGAATCATTTGTCAATGAAATTTTAAATTTAATCTATGAGGCAAGAGTTATCATTGTTTTAGTGCCTTATATTAAAGAATATGAAGTATTCAATGCGAAATAGACATTAAATTACAAACTGAATTACAGTATGAAGACAGGGCCAATCCTATGGAGAAT